TGTTCTAAGAGGTACAAAGCCCACTCGTAATCTCCCTGCTCTGTGAACGGAATAAACCCACGGTCATCATCCTCACTATTCTCTTGAAGAACGGTGACGTCCGGCGACGGCAACCCGGGAACAGCTACCAACTCCATACCATGCGGCACTTGAGGAGCGGAGGGAAAAACCACACTCCTGTCAGCGGGGGAGGGGGCATACACTGTTGAAGGAACGACGCTGCTCGCAGCGGGCGTGATATTGGTCACAGACGATGGCACTACGCTGTTTGCAGCGGGCGGGAAACCATACACCGTGGAAGGTACTATGCCCGCTGCAGCGGGCGGAAAATTCGACACGGGGGCATATCTGTGGGCGGTGTCACCAGAATGTACTACGCTGTTGGGAGCGGGCGGGAAACCAGAGAAGAGGGTCGGCACAACGCTCGTCGGAGCGGATGGAAGCACGACACTGCTGACAGTGGGCGGGAACCTAGACACCGTTGGAGGTACTACACTGCCGGCGCTGGCGACAGTGGGCGGGAAACGAGAAAACGAGGAAGAGGGCATGTACGCTACACCTTGGGGAGAATGCTGCAAGCGGGGGATTGCATGCATCGTTGCAACACCAGTCACACTCGCAACATCCGCAGAGCGAGGGGGAGGCGGGGGTACCGGCGTCACCACGGGCACAGCAATTGGCGTCGTGTAATCGGGCGGCAGACGAGTCGCTCTCAAGGATGAACCGCGCTCGCCACGGGGAAAAGTTTATTCACCGTTAAACAGGTGGATACCTATAGGATCCATCTTAATGCGTTGCCCTCTCATGGCCTTGTGAAGCGAAAAATAATTGAAACCTATTCCCTAAACGTGATGCACGTTGGTGAGCTTCACGCAAAAATCGCTTCCACCATTGTGGAACTTGACATTCAGGCTGCCGATACCAAGCACAGGCATCGTCCTACCATCTCCAATCACTACTCGCTCTCTACCAGGCGGAGGAATCACCACATCGTACATGCACCTCGGGTCACCTGTGGTGTGGTTCGTGGCGCCAGAGTCTGCAAGCCAAGTTTCGTCTCCTACACTCTCATCAAGGACGTTCATCATTGCACATCCGCCGAGTTCACCGCAGTTCTCACACCGCTTGCGAGGGTCATTCGGGTGGATGGGAGGTTCATTTCCCTGCGGGCGGTACATGTTGGGGGGGTAGGTGCTGTAGTCGTAGCCTTGCTGAGGTACAGGGTAGGCGGGGAGGTTGCTGCCCGGCGGTCCCTGGTGAAAAGGGCCCCTGCCCCTCCCACCGGAAGCGGCGCCACGTCCCCCGAATCTTCCTCCTGTCGGCTGCTGCTGATGACGTCCTCCTCCAGAAAAGCCCCGGCCCCCATGCTGGGGCCCGTGCCTTCCGCCGTAGCTCGCACCTTGGCCTCCCGAGGGACCTCCCCAACCCCGCTGCAAGCGACATTCCTCGTTGCTGTGGGACGAGGAGTTGTGGAGGTCACAATATTTTATTTCAGGCGGGTACGACGGCGGGTATACCTGTTGCTGCTGGTTGAAGTACGGCTGATGATGCTGCTGTGGCTGCTGCGGTTGTTGCTTCTGTTCCCGCGCTGCCGTCCTCCGTTGTCCTCTCGTCTTCCCCGGTCCCCCCGTGTTCCCTCCCCCGCCACTACGGTTCTCACCGCCAGTGACGAGGGCATAAGCCCCCACGCTCTCCTGCTTCTTCTTCCTTCGCGCCTCCATCTCCGCCCAAGCATTCACGATAATCCGTTCTACTCTCTCCTTCTCTAGACCGCTCTCGGACATCAGAAAACCTGTGTAGACATCATATTCGGGGAGGAGGTTGCGCACAAGATGTCTGTTAGCATCATCCTCTGTCGTTCAAAAGTCGGTTTGTAGCTCCCTTGCTGATACGTGAGCTATTCATGCAGCCTGAAATAAATGTATGAAAGCAGCATGCGCAGGGATGACAAGTCAAGACATGACTGTATTTGCAGACATGCTTCTTTCGAAGCGATGTGGTTAATACTGTACGTGTGTGCCGGGGACATGCCTATCCCGTGGGAGTGGTACTGATTCCTCGAGTGCACACGCGGACGGGACACTCCTGCAGATTTCAATACCATCTACCATATCATGTCATCTCAGACTCGCTCGCCCCCGCCATAGAAGAGGTGCTCGTGGAAGGGCGTTACGAAGAGCAGTCTCCGACCATGCGTAGTAGTGCGCACACTCTCTCACCTTCAGTTTTTTTCCGCCCCTCTTCCAAGGTACCTGTACGAAACCGAGTCGGACACCGGCCTACCTCCCGCGCTGTTACGGGAAAACAAAAACCTGGAAATTTTGTGGCTCAACAAGATCGGGTGTGGGGAAGTCGACGAGGATCTCTTCTCCGGGCTGTCTAAGCTTCGATTCCTGTAAGTATACAAGCTACATGTAGACTGTCGTGCCAACGGCCCACAAATGCCCAGTCACACCCGTGCGGTTGAATGCTGTTTGTTGAATATGTCATTTATGTTACATTATCACAAGAAGACCCGTTATTTCGGTTACATGATCACAAGACCCACAAACTGATGGTGTGGCAGCGGCACTGCCGGCTGGGATTTTCGGTCAGCCTTAGCGTCGCCCGCCCTCGCGTTGTTTAGAAGGTTGAGAGACTTGTCAGCGGCGAAAATCCGTCGTAATCAAGACTCACACCCATTTTATGTGAAGTGCATGTCGTTGGATTGTGTCTGTTGTCATGGTTCTCGTTCGAACGCAAGATGCCTCTATTCGTACCAATCGAAGTAGCTTCTTTTGCGTTCGAACCTTTAGGCCGTATTGTTCGTCTGTTCACTGGTGTGACGGCCGAATTTACGCTGCTTCAAGTAGTTGCGGGTTTGCTTGGATGGTGATGGTAACGGTGCACTCCGTTGGTGTGTACGATGCATGTTGGAGGTTTCAGTTGCTAAATTCTTGGTTTTGATCTATCAGTTGCTAAGTTCAAGCTACATGTAAGTATCTCTATTGTCTCAACGTCTCAACGCAATTAGATATATATGCCCGGGTCGGACAGTATACCGCAGCTATTTGTTGCGTGTCGCGGGGTTGCTCTGCCACGCGAAATTTTCGCACATGCGCAACTTTTCCCCGGATACACTGCAGACATGTCCCACACATTTACTCCCGTAACGGGTCATCGCGCTATACCCGTCCATGACCACTGTCTGTCGTAGCAGGCGCTTGACCTTCAACGGCCTGTCATCGCTGCCGGAGGACGTATTCACCGACCTGGGGCAGCTACAAGAACTGTGAGCATACCATCCAGGGGCGGGTGTGTAGCACACGTTGTCGGTGCCGTTGGAAAAAACAAGTATTCAGTCCTCTGCCCGATAATGCGACGCTTCTAGATAGACGATGGTGTTGACGGGCAGATCAGTGTCGGTCGGCAGAAATTCCAATGGGCAAGTTCGTGGACGTCCATGGACGCGTGTACGTGTCGTTGACTGCCCATGGATGTCCGCCTGTGTGGACATCCATCTGTGGACGTGTCCAGAAAGACAGTGGACGCTCGTGGGCGTGCCGATTGTTTCTCTACATGTCCTGTTTTTTCTGAGAGCGCCCTATGAAGGGTGTGAGCGAGTGGACCACTTCATCTTCATGTCAAAGCCCATAATGAAAGAATCAGCCCCACCGAATCATCGTGAGATCTTGGAGAAACTCGAATCGCGTTTGATCTTTGACACAATACCATTCAAGATATATTCCTGAGGGCTGACTTCAGCCGCAATACCGTACCGTGAGAATAGCCTGGTGAGACTTCATCTGCTTTCTGGACTGTTCCCTGTTGTGGTTTCCATGTAAGCCTCAATAGCTTCCATGGAATCTCTCGGATTTGGATGGATTTGTGGTGGCACTGCCACCGGTAGCCTAGTGGAAGGTGGAGCAGATGGAAATAATGAAAGCTACTTTCATCGCTTCCACGATACTTCCGTGGAAATACTTCAACCAGAGAACGAACCCGTTGGAATTTCTTCCACGGAAGCTCCGTGGTAGTGATGATAGCTTCGACTCCTTCCACGAGCGCTTCCAACAATACTCCAATTGCTTCTACGGAAACTTCCACGAGCGTGACGGAGTAATCCACGGTACTCGCAAGAGCTTCCGTTACTTCCGTGGAAGATTCCACCAACATAGGGGAGTAGCAGGCCCGATATCAGCGAGCATTGCAGCGTCGAGTGCTCCTTTCGACTTCTACCCTCTCCAATTGGGAAACAAAGCCGACTGTTCCGGTCACAAACCCCCCCACCCGCTACTGTTCATACAGGTACATAGGATACAACAAGCTTACGACATTACCAGCGGGGATCTTCTCCAATCTAGGCCAGCTACTATATCTGTGAGTCGAAATGGTCGGTGCGTCAGAGCCGTGGGCCCCTGTGGCCGTACACCTCGTGGTAGTGAATTGCTCAATAGCTCACCCATCAATCACTTGTGCGGTTCCTGTCAAGGTGTTGCCTTGTATTGTTTTCGCTTCAGCGCACAGCCGTGAGCAACTTTCGCGCGTATGCTTCCCATCGAAAACGGACTTGAATCACCTCTTCTAGGCGTGTGACGTCCGTCATCCATGACGCGCTGACTGAAATGGGCCGTTCGCCAGGCACAGCGTCGGTGTATTAGAGGAGCAGATTGCGTACGCTTGCTCGAGTTTGGCCAACAATCCCTTCCGGTAGACTACAGTAACGTTTTCTGTTTTTTTGTTGGAGTAGTCGGAGGGCAGCCATTGTTGTGTTCAAGAATAAACGTATGCCTGCTTGTTTCATCCACCATATTGTCTGACATGGGCGCCGACATGACCCGCCAACCTAGTCTTGATATGTATACGGGAATCAGACACAATGCATTTTGCGGCTTCACATAGCGGGCGGCAACAATGTCACGAAGAATGCGAGGAAAAACGATAACATATCCAAGCAATTGACCATGTGTGGTGCTGTCTCATTCTACCGCTCACTCGGCATGAACTCCTACCGGATCGTTGTCTCGCTCGGCTGTCGGTGAAATGTGCTGCAGCGGCCTAAGCAACAATCTCTTGGAAACGCTGCCTGGCGGCTCGTTTACCGATCTGACTTCGATCGTCGAAATGTGAGAGCGTGATAGTGACTGTTTGCTGCCCTAAGAACATGACCTGTCCAATGCAGAAAAACATCCGGTCGTTCGAAATTGGCTTGTTTGAAAGGGCGCAAGTGTATGGCCTCCTTGTCCGCATCACCCCAGCGAGGTTTAGCCGCAGGCGATTTTGTTCGTGAAGTCGGCGTATTGTCTAGCACTGTCAGTTTCTCATCATTCAACACACATGTTGCAGTCATTTTCGAGCTCATTCGTTGTCCTCACAAGTGCGGCTCAAACGCGCCCCTCTCGAAATTCTGTGCCCTGCACGCGGCACTGTTCGCAGAGATGTGGCGGAGAACCCGGATTTGCTGTGTGTCGCGCCTGGGTGAGTGGTCCGCATCACAGGAGAAGTATCGACAAGGGAAAAGTTTTCGGCGGGGGGCTATGAACGCTCTCGATGCGCGCACGTACAAGTATGAGAAAGCTCGACGACGACTTCACGGACATGGAGGCTGCTTGTGCCTGGGAGATGTTGGTTTGATAAAAAAGAAAGCCTGAAGACGAGGTAGCCTTACCTCGGTCATTGTCTACAATGTGCACCACAGCTTGCATTGTTTGCGACGTAGGAAGCATCATCGTTCGTCCTTTGCAGGTAGATCTAGTTGGATAGATCTAGTTGGCACTCCTTGAATCATCCGTGCGTGGTGTCCTCGAAGCAATTCTGGTGGGTTTCTGTTTCACGTGGTAGACGTCTTCCGTTCGCCGACGGTATCTTGAAATCAAACTTGGCGATTTGTTGACTGGGTCTTGGTTGCATGGATGGCCTCCTGCCTGTCGTCTTGTCGTGGGTATTAAGCTCCGGCGGCTGTCCCTTGCTCATGTGTATTACCGAACTGAACTCAACGTATGGCTCATGCAATGCTCCTTCTCTTTCACGCAGTTGCTTTCGATTGTTCGGCTTAATGTGCACGGGCGTGATGCGCCATTTCCGCTGTTTCTCTCGTTGTATTGCTTAGTCCGTCTGACACGTCCGGAGTATGATAGCTTCAGTTGGCGCGTGCTGCTAAAGTGCAGGTCATCGCACATCAACTAAACCGAATTTCCCAGATCGATTGCTCCACAACCAAGAAACGGGTGCTTGTAACGATCTCGTCGGCGCTCTCCTTGTAGGCCGGTTTGCCTGTTTGTTGCACTCTCTTTGTTATGGGGCAATCGTCGGCTTAGGTCGTTTGCAACCCCTCATACTATTTCGATATGATCCTGCACTGCACCGCGTACGGGGGTCAAAATGGATCTCGACTTCCCCGCTCAACGCCGCCCGCCGAAGAGCCTATGAGCTCGCTATTTCCTCTATCCCAGTCCCCTTGCATACCTCTTTATTGACAGCAGTCCGATGCTACTGAAACCAAACTTCAACGAATGAAATGATATTCTTCATCCCCATTCGTTTTGACCTGCATTATTTATTGTCGGTTTCAGCCCTGCGGGAGAGATTCTGAGGGACTCGAGCGCTTCTCAGGACGAATCGTGCGGTAAGCATCAGGTTCTAGCACACTGTCGTCATGACGGACCTTCTCGAGCCTCGTGTTTGCCGTTTGCAATTCCGCACATGAGCAAAAGTCACGCTGCAGCAATTCCTGGCGGTTTTTACCTTTACCTCTGTTGACGGGTGCCCTTTGCTCGCACCACTCGAACGAACGGGTAGCAAGCATTCAACATCACCCCAGCCTCGTAGTTCTGGGTACGACACCCGTCTAATTCCCGCGACTTCATTCTTTTAGCATACAAGGAAGGACGAATCTCGGTTTCGATCGTCCTTTGACGGGCCTCGAGGGTCTAGAAGCCACCTCCCTCGACGCATGATGCGATGTCTCATGCTAGCTCGAAGCAATGACGAGAGACAGACAGCTGTTCGTGTTGCAGCCGTGGAACGTCGAGTAGCCGTTTCCGTGCAGTTGGCCACCTGTCTCATGACAAATAAACATTTATACACGTTCTCGAACAAGATTTGCAGCATCAAAATCACCCTCATCCCACCAGGGTGTTGGATCTGTTGACATGTGACTGTGACTATCCATGCATCACGGCCTTGTGGATGTCGTAACATAATTCCCTTTCGCTAGACGAACAATTACCGGTGGTTCACTACCTGCTCGAGAAAATGACTGCCGTATCAAAAAACATTATCTCTCGTTTCTGTCATTTTCTCCCTCCCTCTATCCAAATATCTCCATCCCTCCGCAGTGTATAAGCCTGAGCCACCCGTAGCAACCTGCTTATTTCCGACATGGGTTCCAACCTCTACGTCGAGTCTAACGGAAGCTTGGCAAGACCGAGCTCTCTCACGAAGAGGCACGGGTCACGTAGTCAGTCATGGAGGCTTATGGAAGACCTGACTGCTGTATTTTGTATTACCGGGCTCTTGAAGTGCGTGGCCCCCTATCCTTTACACGCACAAGCAGGAGCTGAGACTTGCAGCAACGGCCTGGAAGGCATCGACGGGAGCGGTGGCGTATGCTGTTCGCTTGACTGCGGACAATGCGGAGGAAAGGGATGCTATACGTCTGGCTCTGCGAATGGCCTCGGTGGTGATTTCTGCTGCAGTGGAGGAATCAAGGCTAGCGATGAGTACTGTGATGAGACCAACGAAGCCCCATGCATCATCGGCAGCCGCCCCGGTGAGATAAGGCAGTCCTGGATACAGTGAAAACTCTTTCGGGTTGGTTGGTCGGTTAGACCAAGCAAGAGAGAGAAAATACTCCGGCTCAAACCCACGACGAATGATCAGGAAAGGCCAGCGAGTACAAACCCACTCAAGGTCCTGTACGGGAAAGGAGACAAGTCCGGACCAGATTGGGGTTAAACCCCGAACTGGCTGTCACCACAGCCAAATCTCGTTCTGCGCAAATAGCTGGGATCGCAGAGGTCCCATCGTTGTTCTCCACCTCCCAGCTCTTGTAGGTAGTGGGTAGAGGGGCGGTAGACTCGTGCCGCCTGGATTAAGGACAGGATAATAGGGTGGAGGGACATACGAAGAGTAGGCGATATGGCCCTCTGCCCCGCTACCAGGTTGTGGAAACTCGCCGTTAAGGACTTGCCCTGCAGTCCAGAACCATACCCGGTTACACTTCGAAACCTTCTTTCAGATCATCTCATTCGAAACGTGTATCTAGTCCACAAACCCTTCATGTGACCTTGTCTCGCCGAACGCAATATGCCCCCCCCGTATAGGTGCGAAAATGATCCATGTTCCCTCATTGCATGTCATCTACGATCGTGTAACTCACAAGCAAGCTTGTCTCGCAAATGTATACCTTTTTTTCCTAGGACAATCAGTCGAAACGTGCAGCAACGGCCTGGAAGGCATCGACGGGAGCGGTGGCGTATGCTGTCCGCTTGACTGCGGACAATGCGGAGGAAAGGGATGCTATACGTCTGGCTCTGCGAATGGCCTCGGTGGTGATTTCTGCTGCAGTGGAGGAATCAAGGCTAGCGATGAGTACTGTGATGAGACCAACGAAGCCCCATGCATCATCGGCAGCCGCCCCGGTGAGATAAGGCAGTCCTGGATACAGTGAAAACTCTTTCGGGTTGGTTGGTCGGTTGGACCAAGCAAGAGAGAGAAAATACTCCGGCTCAAACCCACGACGAATGATCAGGAAAGGCCAGCGAGTACAAACGCACTCAAGATCCTGTAGGGGAAAGGCNCGAATGGCCTCGGTGGTGATTTCTGCTGCAGTGGAGGAATCAAGGCTAGCGATGAGTACTGTGATGAGACCAACGAAGCCCCATGCATCATCGGCAGCCGCCCCGGTGAGATAAGGCAGTCCTGGATACAGTGAAAACTCTTTCGGGTTGGTTGGTCGGTTGGACCAAGCAAGAGAGAGAAAATACTCGGCTCAAACCCACGACGAATGATCAGGAAAGGCCAGCGAGTACAAACGCACTCAAGGTCCTGTACGGGAACGGAGACAAGTCCGGACCAGATTGGGGTTAAACCCCGAACTGGCTGTCACCACAGCCAAATCTCGTTCTGGGCAAATAGCTGGGATCGCAGAGGTCCCATCGTTGTTCTCCACCTTCCAGCTCTTGTAGGTAGTGGGTAGAGGGGCGGTAGACTCGTGCCGCCTGGATTAAGGACAGGAT